CCTGGCACCGGACCCTCCCCCGACCCAGCGCTGGTCTCCGGGGTGTGCCCGTCTCCGCCCGCGCTCACGGTCCCCCTTTACCTTCTGGACGAAGGGCCTTTCCCAGCCTCCGAGCCGCAGGAGGTTTCTAGACCGGCGCGTCCATCTCGGTCATGCTCCGTGTCCGGAGTCCTGGGACGGGTGTCTGACAGCCCCCTCCCCTCGGAAGATGAGATTAAACGAGGAAAGACTTAAGCATATATTTTGGGACCATCATTGGCTCTTTCATTTTTTAGCAGACATTTATTAGAGAAGACTGTACTAAGTGGTTAAGACCAGAAATCAGATCTGAATTTATTATTTTTTTTTGAGAAATCAGATCTGAATTTAAATCTGTGGCCTTGACACATGAGCTTAGGCAAATGGGCTCTGTTGCCTCAGTTTCCTCTATTGTCACAGGGTTTAAGTTGTGCGGATTGTCACGCCAGTGCAGTGACAAGTTAGCTCAGGGTAAGTGCCTGGTCAGTCTTAACTGTCATTCTTTCGGAGCTCTGTAAGAATTCTTATCCATGCTCGGATGCAAACATGAAATATAACAATTATACTCCCCCAAGTCACAGTTTGTGGTGTAGACAGACTTGTAGGAAAATAATTGCCAAACCATGTGATAAAAACTAGAGAGATATACATAGGAAACAGAGGTGGCCAGGATGAGGGATCGAGTGATGGAAGAGATGGTCGGGAAAGGCTGCTTGTAGTAGGAAATGAACCAGGTCAAGGTAAGCCAAGCTTCTGAAGTGTGGCTCAATCTGGAGACCAACTGGAACGTAGGAATGGGTGGGGAAGCAGCAGGAGGCGAGTAGGTCAGATCACACAGGACTAAGGGCGTGCCGAGGGGTTTGTGGGCTTTCACGCGATAGGCCATGAGGAGTCTTCAAGGGGAATCCTTTGAGCAGACCTGCATTTCAAGTAGGTCACTCAGGAACGTGGAGTCTGGATACAACCTTAGAAGCAGTAGGTTTTTATTATGATTGGGGTAAAGGGGGGAGAGAACCTGAAAACACCATTAACCAAGATGGGTTAACGCTGAGAAGATGTGAGGATACAGAAGAATGACAAAGTTCATTTTGGGATATGTTGGACTTACTATGCCATCAGCTGGTGGAGACTCTCAGGGGTGGTTGAACTTGGGTGCAGAGTAAAGGAGTGAGGCCGGGCTTTCAGGGACCTCCACGGCATGAATCCACTCCAATGATGTGGCTCTTTCTCTAACTATGCCTAATATATCCTGCCCAAGGAATTTACACATACCCAGGAAGCCTTCCTGTCTCCTCCATTTGCCTAAATCCTTCATCACTTACCCACCTGTGGCCATCCTCAGACCAAATTCCTTTACAACTGGATTGTACTATTCATTCCGCACTCGGCCTGGGCTGCTCTGTGGTGGTGACTTCTTTGGGCACATGCCCAGTCTCCACAGTTAGCACCAGTCAGTAAACACTAAGGACTGCACTGGCTGAGGCTCTGGGTTAGGCCCTGGGTTAAAGAGAGACATACTTGTCCTCATGGAATTTACAGCCTACCAAAAGCCTGATGTGGAAGAAATAAAATTGAGTGCAATGGCATCCCCGTTACTGAAGAAACAAATGGCATGGAGATTTTTTTTTTTGGAGGCTTCACTGGAGGGAGTGATCTTTTAAATGGAGCCCTGCCCAGCTGGTGTGGCTCAGTGGTTGAGCCTCGGCCCATGCACCAAGAGGTCACCAGTTCAATTCCTGGTCAGGGCACATGCTTGGGTTTCAGGTTCAGTCCCCAGTAGGGGCTTGCAGGAGGCATGTTGATATTTCTATCTCTCTCCCTCTCCCTTCCTCTCTCTCTCAAATCAATTTTTAAAATATTAAAAAATAATCCTATATAATAAAAGGCTAATATGCAAATCGACCAAAGGCTGAACGACCAGTTGCTATGACTCACACTGACCACCTGGGAGCAGATGCTCAATGCAGGAGCTGCCCCCTGCTGGTCAGTGCACTCCCACAGGGGGAGTGCTGCTCAGCCAGAAGCCGGGCTCACGGCTGGTGAGTGCAGCGAAGGTGGCAAGAGCCTCTCCCACCTCCGCAGCAGCGCTAAGGATGTCCAGCTGATGGCTTAGGCCCGCTTCCCACACTGGCAGTCAGACATCCCCTGAGGGCTCCAGACTGCGAGAGGGCACAGGCTGAGCTGAGGGACACCCCCCCCAAGTGCACAAATTTTGTGCACTGGGCCTCTAGTTTAAAAAATAAAATAAACGGAGCCCTGAATTAACCTCGGTGGAGAGATAAATAGGAACATTCTAAGCAGAGAGAACTGTTATGTGTATAGGCCCGGGAAGAGAGTGTGGTATGTGTAATATGGATGGCTGGTGTGGCTGAATTGGGGCAAAGACCAGCAGGGGCAACAGATCCCCCAGGGCCATATAAGCCATACTTATTCACTTATTCACTTATTCAACAAATCTTTCTTGAGTGTCAAATGTGTGCCAGGCAATTTTACTTGGCAGAAATTGAGCAATGGTGTGGACTACTGTAATGAACACACAGATAAAGCGTATCTTCTGCTTGGGGAGATAGAAAATAAACAAATACATAAACAAGGAGCTGTAGGACAAGGCCTCTCTAGAGAGGGTGGTCAGGGAAGACCTGTTTGTGAGGTGACATTTGAGCTGAGGCCTGAAAAATGAGAAAACTAGCTTTTTGTTGAGTTGGAGGCATAGCATTTTGGGCAGAGAGAACAAGTGCAAAGGCCCTGTGGTAGGCATATTTGAGGAACAAAAGAGAGATTACTTGGCTGGATAATTGCGAGTGTTTAGGAGTAGGGTGAAAGAAGGAAAGCAGGCCCAGACCTAGTATGGTTATGGTAAGTAAGGCATGGTAAATTATTAAGTACAGAAATAATCAGATTTATAATTTTTTTTGGTTAATTCTCACCAGAGGATATATGTATATATTTTTAAGAGTGGAAGGGAGGAGAGACAGAGAGAAAAACATTGATGTGAGAGATACACATTGATTGGTTGCCTCCTGCACCCGCCCCAACCAGGGCCTGGGATTGAGCCTGCAACCAAGGTACATGCCCTTCACTGCAATCGAACCCATGGACTTCAGTCCAAGGACAGACGCTCTAACCACCATCTAGGATCAAATTTATTTAAAAAAGAATATTTTTATTGGTTTCAGAGAGGAAGATAGAAACATCAATAAGAGATAATCATTGATCGACTGCCTACTGCATGCCTCCCACTGG